CTCCCCCCCGTAGTAACTGATAATTATCTTTGGTTACTATATATTGGCTTATGTCATATATGTGAAATCACATGGTGTTCCTTGTCCTCTTTGTGACTGACATGCCGTTCAGTATGGTGTATGGCATGCACTTGGATTCCATTGTGTGTTTTCCCATATTTTATTTATTCCTTCATCTGTCATTAGAAATTTTTGTTGGCTTCACTGTTTAGATGTTGCAAGTGCTACAATGAGCATTGTAGCACAGGTGTCTGTCTTCCCTTCAGCGAAAGTTTCTATGCAGGACTGGGATTGCTGGATCATTTGATAGTTCAGCTTTCTGAGGAACCAGGGAACTTAAACGCTGACAAGCTCCTCAGTTGGTAATTCTTCTGTATACTAAAATCCTAGGCTAGAGTTTTCCGTAGCAGTTATTTGAGATAACTTCCCTCGAAAGCTGGGTTCATTTAAAGTTATGTTTAGGGTGATCAACCAGTATAGGAATAGGATTATTGAGATGAACAGATGACAGCATTCTCCCCACCCCCTCTCTGCCTCAAAACCAGTGCTTCCTATAGTGGGCATGGGTGTTACAGCCTCTTGGGGGACACTGGAACTATCCAGGGGGCTGCAAAAGCAGATACCTATACTTAATCCTGGATTTTTGGCTACCGCACAAAAATAAATAAGTAAGCAAGCCAAACTTATTTTTATCATCATGTTGGTGCTGACTCAATGAATCTGAAAGCAACTGACCCTATAGGACAGAGTAGAACTGCCCCTGTGAATTTCTGAGAAAGCTTTATCTTTCTCACAAGGAGGGGCTGGTTTAGAACTGCTTACCTGTAGTTAACAGCCCAGCTAGTAACAGGACACCACCAGGGCTCCTCAGGCTATTAGTAAGAAAGTTTTAAATTAGGAGCAGGGGATGGAGACAAGGAGGGAGAGTGTGCTGTGTTTAAATAAACAGGGGAAACCAGTAGGCCAAGTAAGTTTGAAGACACCCAGACATGAACTCTTGCCAGAACTCCCACAGCAAACAGGCCGAGCTGGGACAGATACCCACTTGTCTCCCCACTCCTAGCCTAGAACTCTAGTCACTCCCCTGCTTTCAGTTTGGAACAGGAGAAAGTCAGTGGTCATTTTTATCATTGCCAGATTTATCAAATAGAAATCCAGGATACTGACTCAAATTTAAATTGCAAGTAAATGGCGAGTGATTGTTTGCCATTTCCCTGCAAAATATTGCAGGGAATGTGTACTTATTAAAAATTTGCCTGTGTATCCTGAATGTTTATTTGCATACCTGGCAACTCTGTTCATTTCTGTATTTGAGCACCAGGGAGATTCAAGGATTGGCCCATGAGAAAAACAATGACTGCCATCAAACAGGTCCTGTTAAGCTAGCTACCATGCATTCCTTTCATAGATTGGGAAAATGAGAGGTTAAGTCCGACTCCCAGAGCTTTCCCCAAAGGTACCTTTCTGCCTCAACCCTAGTTGCTTGGCATTTACTGATGTGTGGCCCAGTTACTGCCTATCAAGTTACAAGCTGCATGAGAGACTGGTCAGATTTGACCCATCTGCCTCAGCCTCATGAGTGAATTACTTAATTGATGACTGCTGTTGTTGGCACACCTAAGCATGGACTCCGAAGTCAGTGCTCTTGACTGCTGCTTTACTCTGCCTCTCAACCTAGCTGCCTATTAAATTGTAGGTGGACAGGAGTTAAATCCAAACCAACTGTAATGAGCCAACTTACCCTTGTAGACAGGGTAGAGCTGCTCCATAGAGTTCCAAGGCTGTAAATCTTTACAGAGTAATTGATGCGTTCAAGCTGTCGGATTTGGGGTTAGCAAATAAGTGCTTTCATCACTGACTTCTTGTGTTGGGGTCAGACCCCCCTATTTTTGCTGGAATGGGCAGTACAAAAGAATCCCAAAGGGTAGGGATATGGTGGCTGAATTATGTCCCTTTCCAACATCAACGGAGTCCTGGGCCTCTCTTCTTCCCCAGTGGAGGCATTGCACGCAGCCCTGAAAGGGCTGGCGCACACAGCACTGAGTGAAGCACATTGTGGCTTCTGGGAAACAAGGCTGACTTAGCTGGTCTGCGTTTGGGAAACTGGTCTCTCATCACCATCTCTGAGCTCACCCACCCCCGCCCCCCAGCAAATTCACAGAGTTTTCACATTCCTGGCCAGCAGGGCAAGGGGGGGGCAGGGGGCAGGTCAGTGACAGCCTGAGAATACCTGAGGCTTCCAGGGCCTGCCTCCCCTAACTTTTCCTGGCATACTGTGAAGCGGAAAGTTGGGCATGGTAATGGGGCCACCTACAGACCCACTTCAACCCAGCACCCTATTTTTATATGACATCTACTCCAGCTCCACCCGAGAAGTCATTTTCTTAAAAGCTGAGGGTAATTCTAAGGTGCCCTATTTTATCAGCACCATCAGTGATGGTGGACAACAGTTTCTGTAATAATTTTGGGTCCCTGGCGCTCTGTGCCTCCCCCCTGCCCCCACACATGGACACACTCCTGAGAATGGGTGTAGGTATACACAGCATATTGTGTTAAGGGGGGAGATTAGCTTTCTGATCTGTGGGTGTGATGGATGCTCTGGACGAGGTGGCGGGATATGGATGTTTAGCTTCACTAACAGCTCACGGGTACCTTTGGGGCACAGCCTGCTGCCTCGTGGGCCTTGGTGCTCCTATGGAGGGCCCCTGACTGGCTCCAGGATAAGCCTCTCCACCATTACATTATGGGATGACCCATAATACTTGGGAATTTAGAAGCCTCTTCCTGGAGGTAATGCCCTAGGTTTAAGTGGCCTGCGGAGGTGGCTGCTGATTTTTTTGGATGTGAAAACCGGGTTTCAAGTCAGCAGCCTCCTGAGTCAGGATAATCAGACGTGTGCAGCAGAGCAGTGCTTGTGCCGCACGACTACATGAGAGGATTTGCCTGGGAAATCGAGGACCCAGCTCTGTTCCAGACAATGGCCCTGTCCTTTAGGGCCAGGAGAACAACAGGAGCTCATAGGCTGAAAAATGGGTTGAAGACCATTTGGTTAGCAGTATTTCGAATGACATTTTTCATAGAAATTTATGTACTTTAAAACTTGAGTCAGAACTGAGCCCCAGCTGCTGTTGAATGGAGTGTTAAGTGCCACTTCTGACCCATAGCGACCCCTGTACACAACTGTGCCCTGCCTCACACTTGTGCCTGTGCCTGTTGTTGGGGCCACTGTGTCCATCTTGTTGAGGGCCTTCCTCTTTTACCAAGCATGCTGTCCTCCAGGGACTGGTCTCTCCTGACAACCAGTGAACGAGTGCTGTCCTCTTACCCAGGTACCTGTGCTTTCTAGCTTGCCAGGGCTACCTACCAGCCTGCTCCTTATTTACAATGCCGTTTGGGACCTGGAGGCCCTCTCTGAGCCTGTTTTTCCCCATCTGTAATCTGGGAGTCACCACACCTTTTAGAATAGCCACAAAAAGTGAATGCCCACAAAGCCCTTTGGTGAACCTTGTTAGGGATATCATAGGGACCCTGGTGCACATTGGTAAAGTTGATAATTCAGACTTAACCAAGTGCCTGCGAGAGAGAGCTGAAGATGTGGTCCCATAAAGGTTAATCAAAATCGGCTCCATAGGACCTGACAACAGGGATATCGTTAGGGCTCAGTAACTGATTACAGTCTAATAAGGGCAAGACACATACAATTGCTGGTAGTGGTAAGTGCTCTGAAGACACAGCCTGTAGACTGGATTTGAACCTGCTCCAGACTTGAGGGATAGGTAGCACTTTACATTATTGTTGTTTGGAGCCATCGGGTCAGTTCCAACGCTGTGCACAACAAGAGTGAAAGACTGCCTGGACCTGAGCCATGCGCACAACTGCCGGGTGCTGGAGCCCCTTGTAGCAGTGATTGAGCCAGGGAAAGCACCCTTGAGTATGACTGACGTGCAGACCTGAAGAATAAGACGCTCATCGTGGCCATTTCACTTTGACATGAACTGCATGGCCTTGGACAAGCCTTTTGCCCCAGTTTTAATTTCTGAAAAACAAAGTATGAAGTGGCTTTCAAAGTCATTAAGTGTTTCTCACACACATATAAATCACCACCAGTACCTGGCACCTCCTCAGCACTCACTAACAGGTGGTTATTATCACAATGACTTGGCTAACCGGAACTGAGTATGCTCTTTAGATAGGCTGGATTCGGGAGTGGACACCTGGAGGCTGGGGGGTTTCAGTTAGGTGTTGTGAAATCCATTGTGTGCCTATGAGGCAGAGTGGGCCTGTGCCCTCGTTCTGAGAGCTGTGGATCACCGAGTCTTTCTCCCTTGGAGTGGGGCTGGTGGGTCTGAACGCGCAGCAGTCTGATAGCTTTCCACTGTGCTGGTGTGATTCAATCATCTTTTTGGCAGGGTTTCAACGATTGGTACCAGCAGTGGGGGTAGTACCCTAGGGCAGGATCCATATGTGGGCAAGGGAGTGTAGGGGACCGAGATGCCTGGGTCACCAAGGGCTAAAGATAGACTGCTGGGGCTGGGCTGACCCAGCTGGGCTGACCGGCATCATGTGACAAGAGCTCAGCCCGCCCTTTGCCCCTCCTCCCCTGCCAAGGGGACGCAGACTCTGCACTTTTGGGCCTGCTCATGGCCGGCAGTTCTTTTTTCAGCGGGGCCTCAAGATGATCTGACCTTCTGAAGTTTGCTTCTTTCTCTCTCTGCCCACTCTCCTCCCCCTCCTAGCCCCTGAGAATGCCTTTCAGCCCCTTCCTGTGTTTCATCTGCAGGTCTGGGGGATTAGGGGTGGGAGGGCTGGGCAGAGAGAGGCCTCTGAGAGGTGGGTGCTGCGGTGTGACCTGGTGAACAAGGTGAGGAGAGATAGGCTGGTGTTGTTTTTACTTTGTGGAAGAATGTTCTTGCTTCAGGGGTGCACTAGGGCCAGTGGGGCTGGGATGAAGGGCCCATCGGTCTCCAAGCTTCTTCTTTGTGTCTCCACCCCATCTCTAGGCTGTGTGACAGCTGAGAAGGTGCCAGCCTTTTCACAGACTCTACCCCCAGGCTGGCCAAGAGGGACGGGCACAGGTGGGTAACCCAGACTTCATTTCCCTCCTGCCTCACCCTCCCCTTGGATGGTTCAGCTGCCTTCCATAATCCTGGGGCTTGGGCTGCAGCTCAGGCAGATGGTGGCAGCCCTCCCCACATCTCGGGAGCAGGAAGGGGGAGCAGAATCCATGTTATCTTAGAGTCTGAGCAACCACTGCACTTCTCCAGGGCATGACTGTAGTGGAGGAACTAAGAGTGGGGCTTAAACAAAGCCCTTTTCCTTGTGGGCCTCTATGGGTGCTTGGTGGCAGTTTCCTTGTCTCTGGGCAGAGAGATTTGTCCAGTCACTGATGTCTGATCCTTGGAGTGTCACTCCCTGCATTGTGACCTTAGACCTGAGTTCCTGCAGTGGGTCTTGGTTTTCTCCAGTGGGGATAGCCATACAGTGCTCCTGAAGCTCTGCCCTCCGAGCTTTCCCTCTTCACCACACTGAAGTGGTCCCTGGGGACCACTAGGTCTCTCCCACTTCTGTTACCGCTAGGAGCATGCATTACAGAGTCAGGCTGTTTGGCTGCAAACCTTGTTCCGCTTGCTGGCTGTGATTGTACCAGATATGCCAGGGTTTTCTCATTTGTAAAACATTACCAATTATAGAGAAAACCCAGTGCTGTTTTTAAGGATTAAGTAAAATCCATGTAGATTATGGATTTTATAATATCTACAGTTGTATTTAATCACCACAACTTGCTGCTAGCATTTTTCTTTGATGATCTTGCCTCCTCTCCCCTCATCCATACAGATCTAATATCACTACCCCTGACTTGGCTATCTACTGAGTGCTTAATCTCTCGTGCGCTCGTAGTACTGCTAACTCTGTAGCCCAGGGAAAAGAAGGAATGGGGTCCCTCTTGAGTGGAGGAAGGTGAGGCTCAGAGAGGGTGGTAGGTGGTGTCCTCAAGGTTATGCAACCGATGAATGTTGGAATCTGGACCAGGGCTCAGAGCCAATTTTAGGCAGTTACCTTTGAGTCAAGGCCGTGCTGCGGCCTGGGTTCCAGTGGAGCCAGCAGCTTCAAGAACACTTGTTTCTCTGCCACTGGTTGGGGTGTGAGGTTACAGCCTCAGGAACTCACATTCTTTAGACAAATGACTGGAGTGGTCCCTGTCCCTGTCCCCAGAGAGCACATGCTCCAGAGGAGGTGGGGGTAGGAGAAATAACCCAATGTTTGATGTCTGCATTGAAATGAAGACATTTCTCTACCCTGAGGAGGCAGTGTCTGCCCCGAGACCTAATGGCCCACAGATGGCACCCCCTAAGCCTAAGAGAAAGGAGCCCTGGGGGTGGGTGGTCGGTTACAAATTGGGCTGTTAACTCTAAGTAAGGTCAGCCTTGGAGACCAGCAGCTTTGCAGGAGAAAGAAGAAACTCTACTCCTTTAAAGAATTACAGTCCTGGAAACCCACGGGGGGCAGCTCTGCCTTGTCCTTTAGAATCCTGTGAATAGAATTGATAGCAATGAAGTGGGATAGTTTGGGGGTTGTGTTTGGGAGCCTAACAAGTTCTTTGCTGTGGAGATAGGTTCAGGTTTTCCAGATACCAAGGACCAGGAGGTAAACTTGCCCCCAGGTAAAGATTTGGTTTCTTCACCTCATGCTGACAGGAAGCCAGGCCCAATAACTAGACTCCCAACCACCACGTGCCCTTGGCTAGAACTCTCACCTTTGACCTGCCTAGTCCCTCAGTTCCATCTCTTTGGCCTTCTTAACAAGTTTTTATTTTTAGTTACAACCTGGTGAATACACCTCAACAAGTGCTGCCCTCTAAAAACCTTCACCTCTAGTATCTTTTCATCTGGTCTGGTACCCTGCGTTCACGGGTTTATGCCTTGTTTGGGGAGACTGGAACCCTGACTCTTTTCCTAATTAAACTCAAGGGAACTAACTGCAGACTTTCCCTCATTTTCATACTCTTCCTCTCTAGCACAGCAGAGGTCTCAGGCCAAAGCTCCTGGGGGAGGGGGGCATTATGGTAAATTCCCCCCATGTTTTCTTTCCTCTTAACTCTAGGCATGGGCCTAGCTACTTCCTGTGTCTGGAGTGGGACCCCAAGAAAGAGCCAGGCTGGGGCACCTCCGTTTTGTGATGTGAATTGGGCTTGGCATTTTTCCTGATGGTGTTTTTTTCTTTCGTGTTCTTTCCCACATCTTTACCTGCATCTCAAAGTGCTCTAACAGTCCTTGATGTGCCCTGGAGTTTTTGCTGAGCCTAGAAGGACCACTGGGAAGGGTGGCAGGACTAGGGGAACCCTTCCCCTTTTCTGGGCCTCATTTTTGTAACTGCAAATAGACGGGTTGGACGAGATCTGCGTTTGTCCTTTTGTTGGAGTCACCCTACAGTGTGGTCATTGGTGGTTTCGTGTTAGAATTCTTGTCTTCCATGGGGAGACCCAGGTTTTATTTTTGATCTGTGTACTTTATGCACAGCCACCATATGTCATCCCCTACAGGCCTGCCTGTTGCTGTGATGCTGAACTTTCAGACCAAGACAGACTAGGAAGAAAGGCCTGGTGACCTACTTCCAAAAAGCCATTAAAAGATGTGTGGATCACACAGGCAAAGTGTTTGTTTCCATGTTTTGTAATACATGAGGTCATCATGTGTTGAGACCCACTTGGCAGCAGCTAACTTCACATGCTTTGGGGCAAGCAGGAGCTGGGGTCATATACCTAGTGTACCCCGAGCTCTGGGCTTTACGCAGCATGCAGAGGTGGAGGAAGAGGGGTCCCCCTTGATTTGCTTGAGATGCTCTAGAAGTGGGGACTGGTGTCTTTGCTAGCAGTTTGAGCTGACAGGTCCAGCAGGAGCCGGTCTATGTCTGCGCATGCACTCACATAGTGGCAGTGCCTGTTGAGGGTGGGTTGTTGGGAGGCAGGCCCAGAAACCAGATCTTGGCATTGCTTCGTTTCCTCTTTTGGCTCAATTGTAATACAAGTGAAGTCCGGCCTAGTCTTGTTTCCAGCCTCCTCAGAGAGCCTGACAGCAGCTCATCCGAGCCTCCCAGGCTTCCTGGGTTTCCCTGAGGCCCTGCAGGATTTTAATAGACCTGTGAATTTTGCTTAAAGGCAGAAATCCGTTCTCTTCCCCTGTGGATTTTCTGCTGCTTGTGAACATTGTTTTTCCTTGGGGCAGTGATAGCCCAAGGCCCAGATGGGGCCAGAACAAGATCAGGTGAGCTAGGGACTGACTTGAGATAGAGCTTTTAAACAAACTTTTGGGCCTCTACATGGGACAAATTAAAATTTTTTTTCTATGCACAGGTCATCACAGCAAGAAAGAGGATTCTTGCATTGGTTAGTGGAGCCTGACCTTTCAGTACTTTATCTTGCACCTTTTTGCGACCTTGGTGAATAAAAAGACTAGGCCAGTGTCATGAAGATCCTAACTCTGGCCATGGGGATCTTTAAAATAGTTTTATCTGTGCCAGCCCAGGGTTGACAGGAAAGTGGGGACGGAGTAGCCTAAGGACCAAAGGCGAATTTCTCCAACCACCAGCTGTAAGGGTAAGGACGCCATGAGCTGAGTTCCACAGCTTCAGTTCTAGGAAGGCATGGGAGTCGGGTAGAGGGGCAGTGTTGAAGAAGTTAAGTTACCTTGGTAGGAGGTGGCCTCGCAATTAAGGAATCAGTTAAGGACACTCTACTTATTAAGGGAACATGGGTCTGATCAAGGATTAGAGCATTCCTTTTGAGACCAACTGGGCAACTTTTCTGCTCAGAGGTTTGTCCAGGTAGTGGTTGCGCAGTGCTGGAGGCAAGGTGATTGGAGGAAGGTGGGTGAGCAGAGCCCCAGGATATATCTTTCCCGATGGAGAGAAGGGGTCAGGAACATCCCCCTCCCCATGGTTTTGAGAACCACGCTGGGAAAACCAAGTGTAGGTATAAAGGGGACTACACCTATTAGAACCCCATTTCCTGAAAGGGGGTGGGGGGCAAGAAAGAAACTTTCTTTTCATGAAGTGTCAGTCTTTTCAATTTTTGTTTTTTGTTTTAATCGTTAAGTCTTCTCATTGTTTAAACATCAGAACCTACTAGAAAATTTTAAACAAAAAATGAAGACTACTATATGCAAAAGATTTCACTCTGGAGAATATTTATAACACAAGGGAGCTTTGTAAAAGTTGGGGGGGTGGGGGGGAGAATTAAATGACAATGAAACTTTCCCACAGATATGTGCCTCTCCCTATTTTATTTTACTCTCATTTGTGTTCATCCTTTTATATCAGTAGCAATTACTATCTTTTAAAACACTGACACATTTTCATCTAGCCAGTTCTCCACTTTTGGACATTTTTCTGCTGTGGGTCATTCATTGTTTTGAAGTTACATACAGACCTTGAGTGGACCTTTGTATACATATCCCTGAATTTGTCTGACGAGAATGGCAAGGATAAGTCTCAGTGGAAGCCCACCTTTTCTTTGGAAACCTGGAAGGCATGTAGTCAGCCCTTCCTTTTTTTTTTTCCAATTCCCATCTGTACTGCTGTGCATCATCTGGTCTAGCCAGGTCTGCAAGGCAGAATTGGGGTCCTGGTAGTTGGGGGGAGGAAGTGTTTAAGAACTAGAGGAAGGTTGTGGGTTTCATTATTGTTATACTGAACCCTAAGTGACTCATCTCCCCACTACCCCTCTGCAAGGTACGTCCAGTTGTCTAGAGATGGGCATTGGGTCCCCATCACGCGCCACCCTCATTGACGAGGATATGATTTTTCTTCCCGCCTTTGGTGTTTGAAGCCTGGTCCCTTTGGTCCTTCATGAGCACACATGTTGGTGTGCTGCTTCCATGTGGGCTTTGTTGCTTCTGGGCTAGGTGGCCGCTTCTTTACTTTCAAGCCTTTAAGTCCCCAGACGCTACAGGTCTCGATAGCCGATAGCCGCAGCCCTTCCTTTTAACTGTTGGCTGGCCTGGGGGCTTGTTGGCTTAGGGAGGTCCTTGAGCTTCTTGATGATCCACTTAGGGTTTCTTTATTGCCTTGAGCCCCGAATTGTTCTATGGGCTCTGTCATGGCTCAGAAGCACTGAATGAGAGGGCCTGCTTGCCATCCATCTGCCCTCTGCAAAGGCTGTTCCACCCCAGAGTCAGGACTTCTGGGCTTTTGCTGCCCACTGCGTCCATGCCCTCACTTTGCCGGCTCCTAGAAAGGATGGGGTGGTTGTGGCTGGTGATGGAGCAGAGCATGTATAGTTCCTTGTTCCACCTTATCTGCCTTTGAGAGTTGTGTGTTGCAGGAGGCAGGGTGGGCAAAGTGAGGAGCTAGTGATGGCCTCTTCCCTCCCCTCCTGGGCTCCACGTAACCACCCCCTCCCTTCTTGTTTCCACAGAACCTTCTGCTCCAGCCAAGGTGGTGAGAGCCGCAATTCCTAAACAGCGCAAAGGCAGCAAGGTAAGGGGGGAGGGGGGGCAGGCCGCAGGGGGCGCTCCTTGGAGGTAGTGGCATCATTCCTGTACTAGTGTTTAGGCTGCCAGATAACTCAAACCCCACTCTGAATAGCAGAAAAGTCCTTTCCAGGCCTCCCATGTGGGTGATTCTGGTAGACAGATTTATTTGGCCTCTGATTTCTTGGTAGAGCTGGATCTTGGGCAAGGGTCACTCCTAGGAGTCTCATAGAATGTGCCCTACAGGTTGGTGATTTTGGAGATGCAATCAACTGGCCCACACCGGGAGAGATAGCTCACAAGAGTGTGCAGGTGAGTCTGGGGCGGGATGGGCAGAATGGAACTGTACCTACAAATGTGTACATTTGGGGCCTTTTCAAACTTTCCAGTCTTTTTGGAGGGGTGGTTGATATAGTAGGAGCAGTGTTAAAATAGCTGAAAATTATGATCATTGGTTTCTGCAGAAAGTGGATGGTAAGGTGTTACCGGTGGTTGAGCGTGTGTCCTTTCCTGGCTCCATCATGTCTTCCTGAGCTGGTGGCGTGTCGTCATCTCATCGTTTAACCACCACAGTGACTCTTGTGATAGGTCCTTTTCTAAGTCCTGATGTGAAGGTGAGGCTAGTGAAGCTTCACCAAAAACAAACTCACAGTCAGTTCCAACTCATAGGGACACCACACCGTTGAACTGCCCTCCTGGGTTTCTGAGGCTTTAAATCTTTGTGGGAACGGAAAGTCTAATCCAGGGGTCCTCAAACTTTTTAAACAGGGGGTCAGTTCACTGTCCCTCAGACCCGTTGGAGGGCTGGACTATAGTTTAAAAAAAAAAACTATGAACAAATTCCTTTGCACAGTGCACATATTTTATTTTGAAGTGGAAAAACAAAACGGGGCAAAAACACTCGGCAGGCCAGATAAATGTCCTCAGCGGGTCGCAGTTTGAGGGCACCTGGTCTAATCTTTCTCCAGCAGAGCATCTAGGGGATTTGAACTGCTGACCTTGCAGTTAGCAGCTCACCATTAACCCGCTGCACAACCAGGGCTCTTTGTGAAGCTCAGGGAGGCTAATCAAACCAACCTCACTGCCATCAAGTTGATGGCTGACTCATAGCAACTCTATAGGATGGAAAAGTTTTTGAGACTAACTCTTTTTTTTTTTTT